TTTCAATGGAAGTTTACCGCTATATTAGGGTTAGTGGTGTGCAGCAGTTTAGGATTACGTTTTGGAATACGAGGTGTCCTGGCAATATTTTGATGGCTGGAATGTGTTTGCAATGGGCAGAAATGATGAGCACTTCAGAAAAAGCTGCTCAAGGATGGCTCTTTCAACATCTTGTCCTTATTAGTTTTTAGGCTCTGGTGGTTCCCTATGCTTATTAATGTTGTTTTTCTTTGGGAGTAAAATAGGGTTTTTTAGTGTTAGTCTTGTGGTGGGGGAGATTGTGTCAATCCTTCTGCCAATTCTAGCAAAAACTTTAGGACAAGGTCCCAGGCATTGTATACCATGTTTCAGTGCTTTTTCCTGGTACTGCTCTTGACCTCAGATGCTTCAATTGAACATTAGAGTTTCTTTGAAATGAAGGATGGACACTCTCAGAAATTTACCCTCCTTGTATAGTATAAAACTTGGCACCTCCCAGTGGAGCTATTTCAATTTATTGAAATAGCTGAAGAGATTGGTATGATTATATGTCCCTGTGTATATCTGGTTAGCTCCAAAGTGCTGTTGGGGTATTAGTAATGTGGCTGTCACTCATGAAGAGTGGCAGAAGGTGTTGCTCCTTTTGCTACATGGCTCAGTAGCAGATCCTACATCTTTCCTGGTTCCTGACAGCATATCTTCTTCTGGTTCAAGCATCCCTAGAATAAGCCTTGATTTGTTTGGGTGGCTTGTTGATGAAAAATAAGCGTTACATGGGAAGTGGTCTGGGTTGTCACCCTAGTGTAACTACTTACCCACAACTGGTTATCATGTCATGCAAACCAGGTCAGTAGAACAGTTGTACACAGAGCAATAAGAACAGCAACAAGAAGTAATGTACCAGGGAAAGGCGGAACAAACAGTGTTTTCGGGGCCTTCTTAAAAGTTGCAATGGTGGAACCCCTATGGAAAAGGGCCCTCTCTTGCATGCATGCTATGGACAGGTTGGTGTGGGTGAGGACAGTGCTTCAGGTAATTGAGTCCCAGAAGAAGGTAGAAGGTCCTGAATAAAGAAAAAGAAGAAACAAGTCTTGAAGTGACTTGTTAGAAGAGCTAAGAACAAGCCTGGCAGGCAAGGGAGCCATGGCATCCCTCATAGTTTAAAATGGTGTGTTAGGACTCATTGATCTGTTCCTGAAGGCAGATGAAAGAAAGTGCCATGATTCTGTGGTTGCTGATGGAAAAGAATGGCTCTTATTCCCCCATCTCTGAAGTGATTGTTCCTATGCTAGGTTTGTTTAGGTGGAAAAAGGTGACGATAAGAACAGCAAGCTTTATTTTGTTAGCAGTGCCTCATATTGTTTGAGCATCCTGGGTTTGGTGTGCTTGGTGACTGGGGATGATTGTAGAAGGGGAGCTCCATGAAGCATCACAGACCAGACATTTCCAACCCTGCCATGGAGTTATCTAAGATTGGACATATGAGACCGGGGGGGGGGGGTGCATTCTCGCAGATGTTGTGCATCAGCAAGAGATCCTCAGTGTCATCCTTGATTGGAATTGCAGGTCAGAGTGGGGGTGTGGGGTGACTGGACTCAGCCAATGCTGGGAAGCCTGTGGGCTCACATTTGGCCACAGATTAATTCTCTTTTCTGTAAAACTGATGGACCTTTTTAAACTTCACAGTTTCGGGATGTCTATTCCAGCTTGCTCACAACATGTTCAGAAGCAAATGTTTATTGTGAATTTTGACAAATGGTGCTTCTTCACAGTGAAGTTTTTAAACTAACCGGAGGGAGCTAATTGGTAATAGCAGAGTGACCAGCTATTTGCATGCTTGAGCATTAAGTCATAATTAAGTCACATGTATCAGGAAGATGATACAGACGAGTTAACTGACTGGCTTTTAGATGGAAACTAACTGTGCATTATGGTTTCTTGATCAGCATATATATGTTGATGCATGTTGTGATTCCTGCAGGATTAGCAACAACAGAAGAGCACAAAATGGTATGGAAAGGGAGCAGAACAAAACAAAAACCCTCTGTAGTAGAAAAACTAAACTTCTGATGCTGTTTCTCTTTAACTGCAGACCCTGCAACATGGAAACATTCAAGGCACCTTTCTAAAGGTTTCCTATTCACTTCTTCTCCCTGCCCCACACAGAATCTGCATGCCTGTGTATTCTAGCCACCAGCATTTCACGCCACTGTTGCTGCTGCCTGCTGTCCTTATTTGCACATTTATGCACTGGCTGCTGTGCTAAATTGCTGGTTTTTGTGGGCCTGCTAGCTTAGTTTGCTATTTTGCTTCTTTCTGCCTTTGCGTCAAATTAGAATGCAAAGTAAAAATGTAATCTTTTTTTTTGAAAGACGTGGTATAGTTTTTATAATAATTGCCATTGTTCTTTTCTTACTGAACTGAATTTGTAAATCTTTTGGTAGTGTTAGTTCTCTTAAAAATATTGCACTGTAATCGGAGAGTGACTGATATTATGTATGTTGTCTTTAACAGTAACTGGAACTGGAAAACTGCACAGTGGTGAAATAATGCAGCAATGATTTCACTGATAAGATTGAAGGCTTCCTTGTTACTTAGCTATTGCAAAGAATGTGGGCTTTAGTTGCTCTCCTGCCTTGCAGCCTTCCAAGGGTGGGCAGCTTGTGCCCTCCAGATGTTGGTCTGTAACTCTCATCAGCCCCAGCCAGCATAGCCAGAGGTGAAAGGAGATGGAGTTTCCCACTTTTGTTGTACTGGGAAGGAGTCTACCCCATTTAATATCTGGGGCAGTCTTAGTGGAGGCAGTATAAGAGGCAGTAGTAAGTACTTCCTGTGCTTCTGTGATGCACTTGACCACAGCTCTGCTGTGGTGCTGCACGGTTGAAAGATGTCAGAGCCTACATGGGCAGTGGGAGTCCAGCACATAGGTCCTGCATGGCAGCGCACTTTCCTGCCTGCAGCAAGCTGCCTGTGATCTGACAGCGATCCAGAAGAAGGTGCTTGGACTTGATCCAAGTGATTGGTCCCAAGCTGAGATTGCTTTAAAATAAAGTCATACTTCTGGAGTTATGTGTTTTCCTTATGGGGTTTGTTGCCCTGAAATTGGAGGTCCACCTGAGAATGAGCACCATGAACATTCACAGTAGCTAGTATACATGATTTCCCAGTTGAAGTCAAGAGTTGTGACCTTCTGTTTTTAGGAAGAGGCGATCCCTGAGCAATATCTGGGATGGTGCGGAAAAAAGGAGGATGGGTCTCCCATGCCTGAAGTGGTAGTGTGGAAGTGGGCATTTCAGCAAGTGTCATTTGTTATGCATACCTGATGAAATGCCTATGTCAGCACAACTTCTAGTGGTACAAGGAGCCCTGTCTTCTTTTGTATCCAGCCATGCTACCCATATGCATAACAATGGTATGGCTAATATAGGGAACAAAATTGGATGTACTGCTGAAATTGGTCTGAATAGCTTATCCCTTGGCATGAGAACTGGACCTTCTTAGCTGTCTGATTTGGCCTTTCACATGAACAGAACATTCTGAGCTACAGATTACCTTAAAAAGGCTTTTCTTGAGTGGCTAATGTTATAATACAGAGCGGCCCATATTTCACTTCAGTCCAGTCATGGCAAATTCCCATTTAGAAGCAATAAAAGTGATGTTCATTCTGCATGAAAGGCCCCTAGCACTACCAATCAAAGGGCATTATTTATTTGTGTTATTTATTTGTTACATTTATATCCCACCTTGTGCAGCTATTCCATATTTTCCTCAATGGATTTTTTCTGGTAAGAAAAATGACCAGCAGAAGCAGTGGGGAAATATGGGAGGGGCGGCAAATTGGACATCTGGACTCCCTATAGCATTCTGTGAATGAGACGAGAGGATTGTACAATAACAAGTGTGTGTGTGGAAGCACTGTAGACACAGTTAGTTCCAGGTATTTCAGTGGAATGCAAATTGGATTATAACCACTGTATTCATTGAAGGGTATGTGCAACGTACTCACGTTGTGACTGCTCAAATATAGGAGGGAAATATAATAAGCAGGCCCCAAATTTAGACAACATTGTGTTGTTGGTAGAAGCAGCAATAGAACAGGAGTTTTAAAAATTGAGGTGCATTTAAGTGCTGGGAAAAGAGCTAGACTCATTGAACTTGTGTTGCTTAATGCTTTGTTTCTGGTTTTCATCATGAAATGTTGAGGATAGAAAAACTCAATGAAGAAATGGCACTTGATACTGAGAAAATTTGTTCGAGTTGAACTTATTGTCTCATAACTATTTTTTACAGGGATCGATACTGAGGAATGGGGGAAATTTTTACATACAAAAAACAAGGTAACTTTTTTTACAATAACGCTATTAAAATGTATACATATGATTGAGAGAAGTAGGCAGTGGGGCAGAGTTGCTGTCAGCCTACTTGGGAACACAGTGTGCAAACTTGCCTCAAGCTATTTCTGATTCTGGCTGATTGCAATTGATGCTTCAGAGACTTCATGAAACTATATTTTAAGCTTTATTAAAAGTGGTTTGGGGTAATATCTGCATTGAGCCTGGGTGTATTCATCCAACCATTCTCCTTTGGCTTTTTGTTAGAAGTGGCCACCTTTCCTACTGATAGCAACATTTTGGAAGCAAGAAGAGCTTCTAGAAATCAAGTCCTTTCTCCAAAGTTTGACAGGATTTGTACATAAATCAGTGTGGGTCACAGCTTGAGATCTTCTTGTACCAAAATATGCAGATAGGACTCTCAGGTTGCTCCTTCTGGGGCTGTAGAGAAGCTGGACCAAGGAGAAGTGAGGCAGGGATCTATAATCGTGCCTTTATGGAAGTTCATGGATGCCTACTGAGCCCTGCACAGAAATGTATGGTGGGGACATGTAATGGCCCGGGCACATTTCGGGGGGGATGCATTTTAGGTTGCATGGCTGTCTCTGCATAACATATTTAAACTGGAGTTCCATTTATCTCTCCACCCATAGCCAGCAACCATAGTATGCCCCTGGTGGAGCCAGCAGAAACAAAAAAAGCTACATTACAGGGTCTAGCAATCTTCCTGCATATGGATCAGCCATTTTCGGCATCCAGAAAGCGGAAAAGAGCATTTTGCATGAAGAAATCTAAGCTGTATCTTGAGAAACTGCATCCGGAGAAATGTGTCCCATGCTGCTACATTATGCATCAGTGCATAGACCTATAAGGGCATTCTACTCTTAAAGATGGTGGAAAAATAAATTCCCTCTGCTCACATGGCCTTTTTGTTCATAGAAGGAAAAATTGCTGTCTGGATGTTTTGTGTGAGTATGGCCACTCATGGTAGGTTTTCTTTTAACATTGCAGCTCTATACTGACTTCGATGAAATTAGACAAGAAATAGAAAGTGAAACTGAAAGGATTTCTGGAAATAATAAGGTAGGTCTCTCTGCTTGGTAAATTTTTCAGATTATTATTTCTGTATAGAACCTGAAGACCATAATTGGAAAATAGTCATATTATTGACACTATTCATTAAGTCATGCTTATCTAAATTGCCTGGGTCTAAAGTTTTCTAGTCCAGGGACAGAATCTACTGCAGCTATTTCTGTTCATAATATCCAAGGTTACATCAAAGGAAAATCTTGCACAGATGATACAGAGTCATGTGAAATAATGTACATTGTTGCGCATGTTCTGACTTAAAGCTCATTTTTGCCAACCACATTTAGGGGAAAGTAGCTGAAATCTCTGAGCTGTGGAAGGCATCACATACACAAACCTGATCTGAGCCCAGACAGTTAAAGACACACCCAGTCTTCATAGCCTAGATTCAATGGTTGCTTGCTTTCTAAATGTTGTGTTTGACTCCCCCCCCCCAAAAAAAAGCCCAGTAGAAATTAATTTTGGTTACTTTTTTATGGCTTTCTAGGGTATCAGCCCTGAACCTATTCATCTAAAGATTTTTTCACCAAATGTTGTCAACCTGACCCTTGTAGATCTTCCTGGAATGACCAAGGTAAGGAAGAATATCTATCTGTCTATCATTTCTATATAACGAAAGGTTTTGTTTTACAGAAGGTGACAGTATATAAGATAGTGATCTGTAAGGGTCCAATTCACACAGCATGCTAAACTCATTGGAGATTGGTTAACCCATGATGAGATCACCAAGGGTTATTCATGGTTTAATAACCCTTGCATAATCCTCTGTTACAGGGTTATGAAATGCTTGTTTAACTATGATTGTATGGTATACAAACTCTGCTCAGGGACTACATATGTAAAGCATTGTCAGCATGCACCATGGGTAATTCCTGAATTAAAGAACTTATGGTGAGTCAGCCTTGTCTTGTGAACTGACCCAGCAGCCAGTTAGCAGAGCGTTTCAGATGTTTCTTACCAAAGTTCCCAACTGTCCTTCCTTCAGTCTCCAGCCTGCTACTGCCACATCACCTTGCACTATTTTCTGTTAATTTGTTTTGTCTGTCTTTGTTGCTAATTGGCTGTCCTTGTTAAGTAGTAGCTGAAAGTAGGAAACTCGAAGAGCTACATTTCTCCCCAAGTAATTTGAATTCCCTTATCCCTTCCTGTTTCCTTTCTCCTGGGAGTAATTTTAGATGCCGTACTTTCAGAAGCCTGACTGCTTATGAATTGCTATTATTGTATTTTAAAGAAGTTCATCCAGATTTTACTTGCTTATTTTCTTGTAGGTACCTGTGGGTGATCAACCAAAGGATATTGAACTTCAGATCCGAGAACTCATCCTTAGATTCATTAGTAATCCAAATTCCATTATTTTGGCAGTCACTGCTGCCAATACGGACATGGCCACCTCCGAGTCACTTAAAATAGCACGGGAAGTAGACCCAGATGGTAAGGAGCAAAAGCAGCTCATCAGTCTTCTCTCCCTGTCCAGGAAACATTCCCTTATCACAGCTGATGCTGTAACTATTAATCCTGAGGTGGCACCTATTCTTAGATGTTGAAGCCATTGTATCTGAAAAAAATGTACCTTGTGTAATTAAAATGGAAAGATGCCTCTAAATGACTTTCCTAATTGAAGGCAAATCTGAGCCATCTCCTAATAATCACTAAAAACAGCTCTGCAAGTCATTGGCACAATTTGGACAGTGATTAGCTTCTTCCTGAAGCATAATTTGTGGTGCATTGGGCCAAACACTCCTCTGTTTCCTCCCCAGCTTATTATTCTGGTTTGATATTAAGCCCTACCTAACCCAAACACTTAGCTAGAGTTCCAAATTAACCTGATTTGCACATCATGGTGGCAGTGGCAGTTCCTGGGATGTTTAACCTAGGAGTTGCAGGGATAATTAGAGTGCGAGCTGCACACTCATAGTTTCTGCTATTAACTAATATTTCAGGAAATTCCCCATTCCTGGTTTCTTCCATGGTGTTTGAACCCAGAAGGTCTGGGATGTTTAGTCATGGTTAACCCAACAACAAACCATGGACCTGAGAACAAAGAAGGGAAGTGAACTTCTCTTTGCTTTGATGTCCTTGTTCCATGGGTAATCTTTCTCCTAGCTATGAAAAGTTATACCAATTTAATGTCAAGTGACTAATTCCCTGTCACTGTGCTAGGGAGGCGTACCCTTGCTGTTATCACAAAGCTAGATCTCATGGATGCGGGCACTGATGCAATGGATGTCCTTATGGGAAGAGTGATCCCTGTTAAGCTCGGCATCATTGGTGTGGTCAATAGGTGAGATTTCAAACACATTCCTTTTGTGAAATACGCAGGTTAACTCTTATGCATTGTGTATGAGAGGGAGAATTACTGCAGTTTCTGGAATATTTAACATGGTTAACCTCGGTTTGTTACAGGGTTGTACGAGTCTTTTCTAGCCATGTTTGGATGGGCATGTCAAGTACTGCTAATGGATGACATATTTAAAATGTTGCTGGGCATGCACCAACACTCATCCTGGATTAACTAACTCACAGTGAGCCAGCTGTGTCGTGTGAACCGAACGGTTCTGCAATCTTTCTTGGACTTTAACTGGCATGCCTCTAAGGCTACTGCAACAGATGGGCCTGGGCTGGTGGAAACAACAGGTGAAATTGGGGAGAGCATGGAGCTGGGGCTGTGTGCCTCCTCCTAATCTGTAAATCACACTTGCACACTTAATCTTTCAGACACTTGGTGTATAATTGGCTGGCCAGCCTTATGTGCTCAGAGTGTTCTCCACATGTTCCCATAATCCCAGATCCCAGACCCGGATACAGGGTCACCTGGATGGCACTAGGTGGCATGTGATAGCAGTGGATTCAGAAAAAAGACTGACATTTTCAAAGCAGCAATGGTATATTGGGATTGCATTCGCCAAGCTGGAAGAACAGGGTGAACCAAATTTTAGCAGCAAAAGAAGAATATGAAATGGAATGGCAAATAGGACTTTCTCCATGGCTGCCTCCCACTTATGGAATATGCTCCCCAGAGAAATTCACTTGGCACCAACATTATTTCCTTTCCAGTGCCAGGCAAAAACATTTCTCTTTTCCTAGCTATTTTAAGCAATAAAATTTTTTAACAGCTAGTTTATTGTTGTTGTGATATTAATTATGTAATGCTTTTATTGTATTGGATTATTTTATTGTTTCAATGAGTGTGTTATTTTAAATATTGTAAGACTCCTGGGGGAGGCATGGAAATGCAAAAATAAATAAATCTACAGTAAACTGCCCAGATAGCTTTTTTTTTGGGGGGGGGGAGATAATGGGTGGTATAGAAATTAATTAAACACCACCACCTTGATGCCTGGTGTTACTTCTTCAGCATATAAAGTGGATGTGTAAAAGTTAATAATTAAGTTAAAAAGTATTGGCTGCTATCTGATGGAATTTTTTTGAATAAAGTGTGAAGTATAAAATACTGTATTGCAACACGCATAATCATTTGCTAATTTTCACTCTTAACTTTTAGGAGTCAGTTAGATATTAATAACAAGAAGAGTGTGGCTGATTCGATTCGTGATGAGTATGCTTTCCTTCAGAAGAAGTATCCCTCTCTAGCCAATCGGAATGGAACAAAGTACCTCGCTAGAACACTCAACAGGTACAAGAATTTGCTGAGATTCTGAATGGCAACTTTCTGACCCATCCCATTTGTGTTGCAGTAGCTTGCATTTGCTGGTGAACCTGATAAATAAGAGAGAGAAACTTCCAGATTTCTCGATTTTATTTGCAGTTAAACCTTTCATATGCACAGGAAATGAATGGGAAGCCAGCAATTACATGTTCAACTTTTCTGCTAATCAGGTGGTTCGCTTTCATTTGATTCATTCTAGAGATGCCAAGTGTAAAAGGGAAGGCTTATCGGAGTAGAGTTTACATCGGGAAGTATCCAACAATGTCCTTTGCCAAAGAGCCTCTCGCACAGTGGTGGCGAACCTATGGCACGCGTGCCACAGTGGACATGCGGAGCCCTCTGTGTTGGCACGAAAGCCAAGTCACCCCAGCATCGCCCCAGCAACCAAGCATCGGATAACAGCATTACATAGGGGCCATGCGCATGCTAGGAAAGGAGTAGTGGCACCAGGCGATAATGTCAAAAGCTGTTATTCAGTAGCCGTGACTCGTCTGAGCTTTTGCATGGCTGGTCAGTGCACTGCCAAGGACATATATATGTATTTGCTTGGACTGGCTGTGTGTGTTTTTTTCTAAACTGAAACCTCCGTTTTCAGGTTTTATTGCAGTGTTGGCACTTTGCGATAAGTGGGTTGTGGGTTGCAGTTCGGGCACTTGGTCTCTAAAAGGTTCACCAACGCCGCTTCAGCACAACACAAATAGAATTAGCTTGTGAGATGAGATTCCCCAGAAAACCCATCGCATGAGCTCATGCTATTGGTGGTGTGCTAGAGGTGCCTTATTCTGGCATAATATAATTTATCTCCCCGCCCCAACCTCTGCAGTTAACACCATATAACAGGGTGGCTGGACATTTTGGCTAGCATTTTCAGGAGTCTGAGCTGTTTGAAGGGGGATGAGGTAGCAGGAACCTCAACTTTCGGCAGAAATTTGGATCCAGCCCAATTCTAAGAATGAAGTTATGTGCCCAAGCACACATTTCACTAGTCATCGCTTAAGCCTTGAAGTATATGAACCAAATTAGATGTGATGTGGCTAATTGGCAATTAGACTGTCCTGTTGGTATATTACTAATACTCATAAAAAATAGTGCACCTGGTTGCTTTTGAAAAATGGAAGGGGGTGCTCTGGGGGAATATGTTAAACCTTGCCCTATTCTTTCTTTGATCTAAATTGCACCCTGTCTCAAGATGTTAGCTTTGCAAGCAGCTAATACCTGATTTGGAAAAGTCGCAGGGAATAAATTGGACTGGGATGCGGGGGCGGGGGAGGAAACAGTCCTCCCCTCCAAAGGAACCAGGTGCAGCTGCTCAATAAAGTAATTAACACAAGCACATACGTTCCTAATTGCACATATTCTGTATCATATTAAGTCTAGCTCTAATTTGCAAACATTGCTGCTTTTCAGGTATTGTTTGATTAGTTTACCTCTCTATAGAATGGTTTATATGACAGTTATATATATTGTAGTATACTTTTAGTTATGATTTCTTGTGCTCTGTACACAGCCCCAGAATCCATTTGAAATAAATGTGGTCTAGAAATTGTTAAAACAAGTAATATATTTGTTTTTTCCTGAAATCTGTAAAAAAACTTCTTTGTTTGGCTTTTTCAGCCAGCCAGCAGGAACACAGTAATCCTGATGGCTTTTAGGCTGACAAAATGTTAGCCAGTGAAATTTATATTAAGTTATTTCTGTGAAAGAATCCCACGTGTTTACCTGAAAACAATTACTGATGAACATTGAAAATGTGTGAATGAAAATTGTGTCGATTATATGTTTAAATTGTCCTGCCAAATGTACTCCTTGTTCCCAAACTCTGCGTTTAGGCTGCTCATGCATCATATCAGAGACTGCTTGCCAGAACTGAAAACCAGAATCAATGTGCTAGCAGCTCAGTACCAGTCTCTGCTGAACAGCTATGGAGAGCCTGTAGATGACAAGAGTGCCACTTTACTACAGCTAATTACCAAATTTGCCACCGAATATTGCAACACCATTGAAGGGACAGCCAAATACATAGAGACTTCAGAATTGTAAGCACAACTTCTGTTTTTGATTATGACTGTCACTGAGAATGGAGGAAAATCTATGTGATAACAATGCTTCTACAAGTCAAATTGAAATTTTCTGCCTTTAAATTAATCAGGACTCAAATAGAGGAAATATTATTTTGATCTTCTCTTTTCCTCCTGTGAGGAAGATTGAGAGGATGGCAACAGGGGAGAGGGCCTTCTTAGTGGAGGGTTCCTGATTGTGGAACAGCTTTCTTGGCGAAGTTCATCCAGCACTAGCATTGCTATCTTTTCGACCATAGGTTAAAACTTTCCTCTACTCCAAGGCTTGTGGCAGCATAGGTTGATCCAGTGTGGTGCAGTGGTTAAGATCGTGGACTGGGACTCAGCAGATCTGGGTTCTAGTCCCCATCCAGCCCTGGAGCTCACCAGGTGATTTTGTGCCTGTCAAAGTCTCAGCCCAACCTACGTCACAGGAATGTTGTGAGCATAAGATGGAGAGGGCGAGGAGAACTATGTAAGCCACCTTGAGTTCCTTGAAAAAAAATGAATAAAATATAACAACTATATAAATAGAATAACATAAGGTTTTCTTGGGTCCTGTGGTTTTATTGTTGAAAATTGATTTATATTGTTTTGAATGTAAATAGCTCTATATTATGTTGTTACACTGTATTTTAGGGTTTTAATCTTTGTACACTACCCAGAGAGGCTGGCTGTGGGGCAGTACAGAAATGAAATGAATGAATGAAACTCAATTCCCTTTTCTCATTCCCTAGGTGCGGTGGAGCTAGGATTTGCTATATTTTTCATGAAACCTTTGGACGGACCTTAGAATCTGTTGACCCTCTAGGTGGCCTTAATACCATTGATATCTTGACGGCCATTAGAAATGCTACTGTAGGTATTATCCTTTATCTCTCTGTTAAGATGCCGTGTCCATTTCTTAACCTGTGCCCCGTGGGGGATACAGTTGAATTACTTGTTGAATTTACTAGTTGGTGCTGCCCTGAGGAATGACGTTATGCCCTGGTGGACATGGTGATTTTCATTACAATGAAGTAAAGATGGGTCTGTTTCCTTGTGGTCTGACTAGGGTCCCCGTCCTGCCTTGTTTGTGCCTGAAGTTTCCTTTGAGCTGCTAGTAAAGAGGCAGATCAAACGTTTGGAAGAGCCCAGCTTGCGATGCGTGGAGCTTGTCCATGAAGAAATGCAGCGGATTATTCAGCATTGTAGCAATTACAGTACACAGGTGAAAGGAGGCGCTAATGTGCAAAATGTGTATATATGTCATGGGGTGTGCATTTATCCTGGAGGATAGGAAACATGGCGCTGAGACTATTAAGGTATGTTTGGAGTGTCCTTATGAATAGAGGACCTCTTCTGTTTAGAGGACAGCCTGAAAAGTTTAAATAGCACAGTTGTCTGAATACTAATGGGGACTCATGGGATTTGATGTGCACTTGCACACATGTGCATTGTATTAGAGGTGTACAAGCAAAGTGCCTTTTATAGCTTAGTTGTATGTATATGCAAGCATGTATGTGTCCTAGTTTGTTCACTCTGAGATAGACTTTGCAGAACCGTTTCCTTTATCCACTTCTGCCCAAGAGAAGACTCCCTGTTTGGGTCCCTGAAAAATCCCACAGCTAGCAGCGCAGAGCAGAAATGGGAGGAAGGGAACCTGAACTTCTGAAGGCCCCATCTTTTAATATCCTATCTGGGAGTTACTGTTGCAAGGAAAAATGGCCACTGTAATAAAAATCTGTATAATAAGAGGGTCTCTCTGAGAAGAGCACCAAGGTGCTGACTTCTGCAGTTCTTGTATCAATGCTGTAGTGCACAAACAGGAGCAAGGAGAGTGCCTTGAATCAAGAAAGACTCCTAAGGGGCCATCTGGTTCCATGGCACACTTGTCTCTGGGTCCTTGCCTGTTGGTTGTGAACACTAGCATGCTGTGGGAACACCTTACAGAAGCCTGTAATAACATTTGCTGTTTACTGTCTGCAAACGTCATGATTAGGCCTCCTTGGAAGACAGCACACAGTGCTCTGATGGCCATTGATTTGATTGAGAAGGATTGCTCAGTTTTGCAGATGCTTTTGTTCTCCCAACAGAATGACATTCAGCTATAGCTTTGAAAAGCTTTATACCTTTCAAAATACCAAACCAGAATTCTATTTGAATAATATGTATAGTCTGAGACTGTAAATTAGACAGAACATTCACTAGTTCTTGAGGAAAAAGAGTTCTTGCCCATCCCCATTGTTTGTCTTTTTGCATAGATTGTTCTTATAAGACACTCTCGTCTATTCAGTTTGATAATGTATTTTTTTCCTTGTAGCTTCAGAAGACAAACCTTTCCCTTGTTTTGTTTGTATTCAGGAATTGCTGAGGTTTCCTAAACTCCATGATGCCATTGTTGAGGTTGTGACCAGTCTTTTGCGTCGAAGGCTGCCAGTTACAAATGACATGGTAATTCTTGTGCAGGTTGCCATGTGCAGTTGTGTGTTGCTTTGAATGGGCAGTGAGATGATACTAATGACAATAGTACTGGTAAAATCTTAGAGAGGACCAAGGTGAAGCTTAGCTGGAGCATTAAGGAGCAGAAGCTGGAATTCTACCCACACTTACTTTGAAACGAGCACCACTGGAATCAGTGGTGCTTGCTTCTGAGTGAACATGTCTTTTTCATTTATTTAGAAAAACTTTCCTTTATCACTCCACAGTCCCTATAAGGGTTCCCACGATAGTTAATAACATTCAAAACGAAATCTGCTTCAGTAAAAATTGAGAACAGTATAAACCACTATAAAAACAAACCAAACTAAACCAAGTTAGTGTTCAAATAAAACTCATTAAAAGTTTGTTCTCTATCTGCCTGAATTACTATTGCACTGTTGTTTCTTTACAACCAATGGTCTTGAGTCTCTCTTGTCAGTTCTGCATGTTAACCCCTCAAAAGGAAGCAGTATACATACTAATGTATCATCATCTTTGTATCCCATCTTTCTTCCTTTTGAAAGGAACCCAAGGTGGCTCACATACTCCTTGTTTTCTCCTCACAACAACCCTGTGGGGTAGATTAAGCTAAGGCAGTGAGCTTCCTGGCCAAATGGGGACTAGCTCTCCTGAGCCCCAGTCCAGCACCGGACAGCTTGTGGCCCTGCCAATGTTTTGTATTACATCTCCCAGCCCTATCCAGTGGGTGAGGTGTGATGGAAGATACAGGCCAAAACTGAAGTGTTCACCCCTTCTTCAAGAGAGGTCAAATGAGTTGCCTTCAGCTGCACTAGACTTGTCACTTTTAAGGAATGACTTCTTTGCCTTCTTACCTAGCACTGGATTTAATGGAATAAAACATGAAGCTCTGAATCATTCTCTCGGTTTTTCTTATAGGTTCACAATCTGGTAGCCATTGAGTTGGCCTATATCAATACCAAACACCCAGATTTTGCAGATGCTTGTGGGCTAATAAACAATAACATAGAGGTAAGGGAAGAAATTTATGCTCTTTAAGTATTTTTCGCTGTTAATTATGAATGGGTCTTTCTCCTTGTGCACAGATATATTCTATTTCACAGTCTTATTTTACTGAAATAATCAGATTTTCACATCAACAGCTTAGCATGAATTAAAACTCCTAGTTCTGCACTTAATGAGAGTCCCAACTCAAAACCAAAAGAATTACTTAACTTGATATAAGCCAGAGATTTATTTAGCATTGTACATTCTCAAAGAAGTTGATAAGCATGGCAGTACTAAATTGCTCACTACTGGCAGTTGGAGCAGAAGGGTCACATCAGAGGATTGGGAGATGGGCCATCTCTCCATGTGCCAGCTGGTCTGCTCTTGTGAGGACTAAAGACGGGGGAACTGAGAAGCTCATTGTTCCTCTTTGGGAATTCCAACTGCCAGTGCTAAAGATTCTTGTGACTCCTTGCATGTCACCAAAATTTAGAAGGTAGATATTCTGTGTCTAGTGTAGAAGAGGGTTAGCTTTCTTCTTGCATCACTTGGAGCCAAAAAACAAGACCCTAGGATTGGGGTGGGGGGTGTTTGGTTGGCTTTGATTTGTAAACTGCTATCCCTTCCCCCAGTTTTACTCTATTTTATCCTTTTTAGACCTAGTGTCTTATCTTCCCTTCACTCCTATGTTTTACCCTTTCAATAAACTTTATTTCCCATACTTGCGTAGTTGTGTGCTAAATCTGGAATGGAAGGGCCAGGGGATTTCTGGGCGGTATCGAGCCCAGTTGGACAAGGAGAGCATGGGATCTCCATCGGCTTTACCATTACATCTACTAACTTCCCTGGATATAGAAGCATGCATACCTGAGCATGTACTGTTTGTTCCAGTAAAGATATCTGGGGACCAGCACCTGCCACTGTTATCATCTGAGTACAGATGTAGCAAAAAGCAAATTAATCACTTTGCTAAAAGAGCCAAATGGGCATCTTTGGAAAGAGGGGGGATCCCAGCTGTCTTTTTAAAGGCTTGAATATATACCTTTATGCTAGTTAATGCATAACACTAACCATTGATAGAGGTAGTTGCATTCTGGGTTGTTGGGAGGTAAGCCATGAGTTTCTAGGCTGTAAACTCTTGGTGATTTAAATCATGGGATGCCATTACATACAAACCCAAAAAATTAGGTTGTTTATGGGTTCCTAGGCTGGCTACAGTTGTGGTGGGCAAGAGCAGTAAAGAAATTCAGGCACTGTGTTCACCAGTACTACAGTGCCAGAATAGTATTTAGGATATGGGAGGGAGCAGACAAAGGTGGAAGGAAACAATCAGTCTAGGGAATGAGAAAACAAAATTTTTTAATGATCTGCCAGATAAATCCTGAGTAGGACAACAAACCATAGGTTAAATAAACAATAGAGTACAGGTAGTCCCTGGATTACAAATGTCTGGGTTGTGAACAACTTGTACTTATGAACATGTGGACAGCCAGAAACCCTATAGAAAAACTGTGAATATTTCTAGGGAACTATGCGATGCACTTGGCAATGTAGCTCAATAAAGATATCCATGGCTGTTTGTTTATTTAAATACCATTTGACTAGCATAAAGCGAAATATAAACAATAACATTTATTAGAGATATTCATGGCTTTTTACTAGAGACAGTTAAGGCTATCTCTAGGGAACTACATGACACATTTGGCAATGTGTCTTTCAGTGGCTGCATAGTTCCCTAGAGATACAGTAATCATGGCTTTTTGTTCCATGGCGTCTGGACCCTACACTTCAGTGGCAACCCCTCTTTTAGCACCAGGTCCATCTCCATCATCAGTCAATGTCAGGCTTAACGTTACTTCAACAATGCTCTAAATTGTTTTAAGAATGAGTCCACCTAGTTTAGTGCTATCTGCTCCATTTGGCAGCAGCTTTCCAACATCCTGAGAGGAAACATTTCTTAGTTATGTTCCAAGATCCACTGAGGCTGGAGATGCAGGGACACCTGCTACATATGTTATCTGCCCATAGCCTGCAGTCTTCTATAGGAGAGGAGGAGACCATGCACCAGCATTGCTTAACACTGGATCCCAGGAAGTCATTATTGTCTTGGTTTTTCAAAACTCACTGACAAAACTCATTCTCATCCATTGTAGTAGTTGTGCATCAGTGTAATGATGATCAGTTTGCCAATGAGGAGTGCCTACTTAACTTTTCACAGAAATTTACTCTCAGTGACTGACAGTATCAGTCTCTATGGTCTAAGTTACTGTTTGTGAAGCAGTAAAATTTGAATATATCCTAAAAGTCTTTTCCTAATCAAAGCTATAATTTGCTTGTTTTGTTTTTAATTTAGGAGCAAAGGCGGAACAAGCTAGCTAGAGAGATGCCTTTCAGTGGCTCACGAGACAAGGTGAGTGTATGTGTCTGATGTTCTATGTAAAACTGAAGGTATGCTTGGAAGGATTAGAAAAAACCCAAGCAGGTCTTATTGTTACTGCAGTAATTATAAAAAATCCCTTGATCAGAGGTGTTTGGAGGCTCTGTTAAAAAATGCAAGTGCATGCCATCTTCTGAAAGGCAACCACTGAGGGGAATCCAAGAGGTTGAGCTGAAATAAATGGACATGCAACGCTGATGTCATTTTCTGACCATCTTGCTTTCTTTAGTCAGCGAAGCCTCCTGGTGCTTCGGCACCATCTTCCCAGGAGAACTCTGCTGCTGGTTCTGCTGAGGTTGATGGCAAGGTCTGTCTCCGTTTCTTCCTCTAAGCACTGCATGCTCAGTTGTTTTGTGGTCCACCTTGATAATGATTGAACGCTGTTTGTATCAGCTGCTGGTATGCTTGTCTGAACATGTGGCCAGATGTTGAAGGGTTCATTTCATTTCATTTGATTACTGAAGGGTGGTGGGCTTGAAGTTAGATTCTGAGATGCTAGGGCTCCTACACAAGGGAAGGTACTTCAGTGGAAATTTCAGTAATGATAAGTAAGCCTTTCTGGGAGGTGGCTTTATTTCCCATAACCAGTCATTTGCAATTATAGGTGTCTTTGGTAAGTTCCCCAGCTTTCTTTCAGCTTGTACAACACAACTGTGCGGTTGGCAGGCCCATGACCAGTGCTCTGAAAGAGCTGACATTACGCCATAAGACTGATTCCCCATGCTGAGATACTGTGATAGATGTTTGGGGGTCCCCTAGCAGGGACTCAGTGTGGAAAAGTTCCATAAAAGAAGAAACATTGAAAACCATGGGTCTGTAGAGCCTGAGAACAATGAAGTAAAAATATACCACTGGCTATCTATTTGCTTTCAACCACAAAGCCCTACTTTACAATTTCCTACTTAAGCATGTTAAACATATGTGTAAAGCTGCATGTTTTGTGGTCTTATCACAGGGGTGGACAGCCTGAAAGTTGCAAGTGGCCCAGTTCTCCTGGCTCTAGTGCAGACTTAAGATTCCTGAAAGTCTTGTCTCTCTCCACTCACCCACATCAAAAAATATATAAAAATAAAGTGTAGATGGCTAGTTCTGTGCAAGAAGTTGGAAAACATGACAATAAAACGTTCTTGAGGTACATTGCAGATCAACATAAAAGAACACAAATTTACTAGCCTGTCTGCTTCATCTGTGTGTGGAGTCTACAAACTGGTCTTCACAAAGGAATCCTTTCATGTCGAGCAAGTGGCCAACTGAAAGCCTGCAAGCATGGGGCTAAGTTTTCTAATCAAGGCAGGAATTCTGGTGTGCTAAAAAATATCCTGCATTCTGAAACAAAAGAATTCTGCATTTGTACTATTTTTAAATCAGATTTCCTAAATATCCCATAGACCATGGATGTAAAATATGTGACCTCCAGATATTGTACTCCAACTCCTAACAGACCCGCCAACATGGCCATTGGGCAGGTATGAAGGGAGTAACTGTTCAACAATATCCAGAATGCTACCTGTTACCTATACCTGTTGCAGAATATTCTCCATAGATATTTTATAGACTAAAACACAAATACGCTGCACAATTAAAAACCAGTGACACACAAGATTTAATTCCAGGGGGTTGGAGCCTTAGATGGAAGGCTCTGTGTATGAAACTTGCCTCTGTCCAATTTCAGGGATTTCCCTCTCCCCCAGCTTGCTCAATTCAGTAGGGTCCACAGCCACATGTAGCCTTTTCTGGTTGCTGCTGGGGGCATGGAGGGCTTCTATCAGCCTAGTTGCACTCACCTAGCCATTATTTATAATCAGTTCTACAGTTTTAACTACTTGTTGGATGTGCACTAAATAAGCTTAGATCTTTAAGAAGAACCCAAATTGTATGTTCATAAGTTTGGGTATTACGACATGGTACTATTGAATACTCCCCCCCCCCCCGATTTATATCCTGCCTTTTTCCTACAATGGGCTCAAGGCAGCTTACATCTCCTCCTCCATCTTATCCCCACAACAACAATCCTGTGAGGTAGGTTGGGCTGAGAGTCTGGGACTGGACCAAAGTCACCCAGTTGGCTCCATGGTTGAGCGGGGACTAGAACCCAGTTCGCCTGAGTCCCAGTTCCATGCTCTTAACCACTACACCACACTGGCTCTCCAGTGTATACTTGCATACACATCACAGCTTTTATTCAGAAAGAATTTGTGCAGCACACTATAAGCCTCTGTATTTTACACACATTATCTGCTTGAGCATTTTATCTGAATGGGTAGTACTCAGAATGTCAAATCCTACTTTTTGAACGTGGGGAACTTTTTACAGACAGCTTGTCATTTTCAAACACATTCCTGTAGCTGGAGCAGCAATTCTGTCATTCTCTGGTTTTAGTACAGAAGGTCACTTGTAAGGATAAGTGAACAGCTGTATCAAGGAAAAGGAACAAGACAACCACTGTTGGATGATCATTTTATGGCTTAAGAAGCTGAGGTGTGGATCAGCCTTTTAGCTGTGCCCGAAGTGCCTTTAGGTGAATACACCAACAAGCCAGGAAGTGTTCTATTTATTGTAGTCTCCCATTTCACCTGAACGAATAGACTTTGCTTATAAGCTTTGGAGCGAACAAGACTATTGAGACAACTTCAAAACACAGCTTGCTCTGAAGCTGCTAACTGTAATTTCCTAGTTCAAATGAAAAAAAAGGCTTTCCACATGTGAGGCACCACTAGTTTAGCACCTAATTGGATTGGAAGAAAAGAAGCATGTATGCTTGAGCTACTTGGAGGCAGGAAGGGATAAAGAAGCAGTAAACAAAATGAAAATATTTGGAACAGGTGGGTACTGGTTGAAGGACCATGCAGATAATTCATTTGAGTATTGTATTGCTGATTTTTTTTTCCCTTTAGGTAGCCCCTGCGATGGGAGATGGAGCCCCAGAGTCTGGAACAGGCAACTGGAGGGGAATGCTGAAAACCTCAAGAACAGAGGAGGTACCAGCTGAGGAAAAACCAAAACCAGTAACCATCTTACCTGCCAGCCCTCAAAAAGGCCATGCTGTAAATTTGCTGGATGTGGTGAGTTTCAACTGAAGCACAGTTCAATATGACTGAACAAAATTGGACTTTCATTCACATAAAAAAGCAGATTTAGCATCACAAGCATACCTTTGTGTCAGATAATTTTTCTTCTGAGTTACTTTGCCTTTTCTGTGACCATAGCTGCTAGTTAAAAGTTTATCATAGCTAACTATCATTACATTCTTTAAAAATACATTGAGTGACCATTTTACCATTCTGGAGTCATAAGTTGTACAATTTACTTCTTTGAGCAAGTACTTTCTTTTGTTTATTACTCTATTGATATATACAGATGTCAGGCTAAAGCATTACATACCACTAATAGTGTTTTTCAGTTACAATATTTTGTATGAATTAGCACAAGATCTTGCATACTAGGAAGTAAAAATTGTGAATTTCTCTAGATTATTTGTCCAGAGAGCCAAAACACATGAGTGAGGCTGGCTAGTATCAAGACAAAGAGCATGGCATTCCCAAATAGTGTCTAGTCCCCTAGAGATATTTGCAGTTTTTCGCTAGAGATATTCACAGCTTTTCTGCTTTCATGGGGGTCCTGCACCCATAACCCTGTGAATATGGCGTTCTGATCATCAACTGCAGCTAAGTGAAACTGCAGTAACTGAGACAGTGGATATAGGGGTCCTGCTGTATATTGTGAATTCCACATACATGTTTAGGTGATATAGAAATTCATTTCCCCAATATGTAGCAGATTTAAATATTCAAGATGCAGCTGGACAGCCATCTCAGAGGAATGGTTTAACCTGGAATTCTGCACTGAGTGGCGGTTGGACCCAATGGCCTTCTTGGTGTTTTTCAACTTCACTATTCTATGATTCCATAACTGCTATCCTTAATGTATCTTTTTTTCTGGTAGTACATTCAACAGAATAGCATTTTTGGCAGCTGGGTAGGGAAAGAGGTAAGACAAATGAGATTTTGGTAAGCAAATATATGCACCTTGCAGGTTATTGGCTATGCAGGGAAGATGTAGAGTAAAGCGGTTTAACAACACCTCCAAGTCTGTTTGTGGGCTTTTAATGGGAGCTGTCTTTACATCTGAAAGCTTAACTTTCTGTCTATGAAGGTTCGAAAGACTCTTCTAAAAGAAATCATTTTGAAAACCTGTGTTCTGAGATTGTGATGTTTTCTGAATGAGAACAATAACATTAATGCCAACAAAGGAAAATATTTTTGTTAAGATTTGTCAGGAACTAGGACCTATTGCAAGTTGCTCATATTATTGAGAGTGCAAGTAATGAAATGATGCTGTAAGTATTTTCTCCAAGGCCCTCCTCCAGGAAAATTTGGAACTACCTCCCAGGGTTTAAACTTTAAGATCTCTTACTGCAACAACCTATAAAAGAAACTTCAAATCATGCTTACTCATAATTACTTGATGCCACCTTTCTATTTTCTAGCCTGTTCCTGTGTCACGCAAGCTTTCTGCTCGGGAGCAACGAGACTGTGAGGTGATTGAGCGCCTAATTAAATCCTACTTTCTAATTGTGAGAAAGAACATTCAGGACAGGTTTGTTCAACTAAAGCATTGAAATCCTTGGTTTATATCAGTGATAATTACAACTTGCTTATTACTTGAATTTTTACTGCAGAAATCTAAATACGATGAATAGCCCTTTGTGGTTAGATATGAGAGAATGGCTTGCACAAGACAAGTGAAGAAGCTTGTCACTCGATTCTTATGTTGTAAAATGACCCACATGGGAGGTGTTAACTGTGGGTTGTTTTGAACAAGCAGGAGCAAGCATGCTGTCTTATAGCTGTTTTTCCACTGCACTAAACATCCCTGAGATGCTTGACTAAACAACCCAAAGGCTTGAAAAACTAGGTTTTCAGTGAAGATGCATTTCTGGATTGCTGAGCAATGATATGAAATCCTAGTTTTTCAACCCAGACATCATCTCTGGGTTGTTGAGTGCAGCAGGAAAAGCAGAGTGGTCAAGAGCAAGCACATTCACTCTTGGACAACCCACAGTTTGTTTAACCATGGACTGTTATGTTATCTGAACTGAGCCACTGGCTCTTTTTCCTCCACTTTATCGAATGAAAACTGCCCAGAACGCCCTCTGGGCTATGGGGCAGTAAATAAATGTAATAAATATTTGCTACCCCCCGTTAGGTTTTGAAGTGACACATTACATACAGAGAGAAAATAAATAACATGATTGTAGCTTTTGCTATCTGTGCCCAATTTTGTCCTCCCCTTGCCTTCACATTTTAGCTTGTGGGACAGGTTTTTTAAATTGCTATCTGTAGTCTCTGCTAAAGGTGGTTGTCTCCTACTTGAAGCTGACAGACACTTGATTATATAAACTCAGAGGCATACATGATTCCAGAGGATGGAGGGAGGTGGTCTGGCAGCCATTTTTGGCACATTTTGGCCTTCTAGATGAAGTGATACAGTGGGGGAAGGAAGGAAGCTGGAGTACTGTCTGGATACAGCCTAAACCATCAATCTCCTTCCCACTGCCTGACCATGTCCCTTTTCCTCCTCTCGAAGTCCAATTCATAACCCCAAAGAGACAGCCAGTGTAGCTGTGAGGAGTTAGACCTTTGGAGTACCAGCACAGAGGTTACAAGAACTTGATGCTGGGACTTGGTATAATCCTTTGCCTCCCTGCTCAGATGCTGTTGGGAGCTATATGATTATTCCCGTAGTTGCTTAGAAAAGTGTGGGTTTTTTGCTTCTTAATCAGCTACTCTTTAGTACTATTTGGTGTGCTTGAACCATGGTTGCTTGTTTGCAGTGTACCAAAGGCAGTTATGCATTTTCTGGTCAACCACGTGAAAGACACTCTTCAGAGTGAACTAGTAGGACAGCTGTACAAAGCCTTATTGCTGGATGACCTTTTGACTGAATCAGAGGACATGGCTCAGCGCAGGAAGGAGGCGGCTGACATGCTACAGGTAGAGCAGATCTTTTTGTTATAGTAGGAAAGATTACAATATTCAAATGTGAAGAATTATGGATTCAAAGTTTTATACTGTATAGTTTATTTTTATTATGATACAAAGTATGGTTAGATGGGATGTAGTATGACTGACAAACACGTAAGAAACTTGTTTTAATCATTTTATATCCTGCTTTTTTCCTTCAAGGAACTGGCTTACACAATCTTTTCCTCTCTCCAATCTATCGTCACCACAACCCTGTGAGCCAGGCTAGGTTGAGAGTTGGTGACTGGCCCAAAACCATCCAGTGAGCTTTATGGCCATGTAGGGACTTGGATCTCCCAGATCCCAGTCTAACACTGTAACTACACTTTTATGGGTTGCAATGCTTTCAAATTAAGAGGCTTCGTTGCCTATCTCTGAAGCAAGGGCTAGTGCTGGGGAGAATTTGGCTTCTTCTGAAAAACTGCTGAACATTCATTGTAAAGGATTGTCATGTATTATGACTCTCAGGATTCTGTTGAATTTGAATTGTAAAGCTTAAATGATCTCTTCATTTCCATAGGCATTGCAACGAGCCAGTCAGATTATTGCTGAGATCCGAGAGACACACCTTTGGTGAAGAAACCAACGACTTGAGATTGCTAGGCATTATATACTTATGAACTCCTTATGTGTACTGCTGTGTATAAACCCGCTCATGTAAAGACAGTTTGGTCTGGCTTTTTATGGACAGAAGAGCATGCTGTACTTTACAAAACAAGTCATATTTAATCAACATTTTCCCTGCCAGCTTCCCAGTGCAGAGAACAAGATCATTCTCCTAAGAGAGACTGAACTTAATTGAATATGATTCTATGAAGATAGGGAAAGAACCATGTAAAAATTCCAGTGCCTGCCTTGCTAAATGAGTTGCCTGTGAATAGGATGAACAGTGTGTAGTATTGTGATGTAGCTGTTCAGCTGCTTTTGCAGTATCAGTTTTTTAGCCATGAAGAAAGGATAACACAACTCTTATGAATTAAATTGCATGCACTCAAGTCTCATTTAAACGGCACAGTAGCCTTATAATTGTGTAACATGTGGCCTCATTTTTTAGAACTTTAAATGAAATAGTTGGTTAACTTCCAAATTCCATTGGTTAACTTCTCCTTTAACAAGAAAGAGATTCTGCTTAGGGACAGTTTCAACCAAAGAACAATACAAGAGTTGGTAAGAATCTCACTGGTTAGAAACTGCAGTCTAAAAAATGCCAGATTAAAAGGTTCTATGGCAGATCAATTTCTCTATCTTCACAAACATTGAAAAAAGGCAGCTGTATGTCAGATTAACTTGAAAGACCACAACACTTTCCTGTGTTGTCAGGGGTTACTGCCACTACAAGACAGAGTCTATTTCATTGCTTAATTATCATAACCTGTAAAATCCATAGCAATGATACACTTTTCCCTGAAGCATTTTATCATTTTACCCTTGTGCTTAAAGCACACCATATATATGGCACTCATACTATATAGGAAAACAGGTATATGGTCAGGACTGAAGTAGGCGTGAGTATGTTTAGTTTGCTTTGTGCTGCTTATGCTAGAGAATAGATACACTATCTTCTTCAACCAATACTTGTTTAAAAATAAAATCCTTGGGCGTCATACATAGTGTACAGAACTTCTTCCACTCAGCCCTTACACAACAAAGTAAAAAAACAATTTGCTCTAAAACATTAAAAACAAGAATTTTGAAATTTAGTAAGAACATATAATAGTTTGAAAATATTCTAGATTTCTCAAGTATGTCGAAACTTATGTGTCTGCAGTTGGCATCCTCCAAATCTATACCCACAACTAACATAATCTTATATGCTAATAAAACTGTATCTGAGTATTTCTGGGACTTTGGTAAATCTGTTGTGCAAGATGGGTACTGAACTCAATGACCTTGTTTGCAAATAGGCACTCCTACAACAGATTGTGGATTATGTGAGTGTTGTTTAGTTCTCATCTGCCCCCTGCTGACCAGGCTTGCATGACATTTGTTGGGAGCTGTGTATTTTGTAATGGTGGCTAGTACATGCTGCAGCTACTTGAGAGTAAATTGCACAAATTTGTTGTGCAAACCAGGTCAGAGTATGGATTGAATCATGAATTGTTGTGACATGCAAACCCTGCACTATAGTTAAACTATAGCTTAACCACGAACGACCCAGGAAGAGAACTGATGGTTAAACTGTTGAATCATGAACTTTGGGTTGGTCATACTTAACCTAGGTTAACCCATAGTGCAGGGTCTGGCCATAACAAACAGCCCGTACTCTAAGCTTTTATGTATTCAGATCATAAAGAAATGCTACTATCTTTCTGAGTGGTAAGTTATTAATTTCTGTCACTGAGTTTGGTGAATCTTCATGAATGCTTGCTGCTAACTCAGAATCACCTATTTCTTTGAATTCAGCTTTCTACTAGTTATACTTCCCTGATTTCGCCATCTTACCTCCCTCCCTTCACCCTGACAAACCCTTCACCGATGTACGTGGTGTACTGGCCAAACCAGTTGCATCTGTCACATTTGTACCTGCATTTGCTCCACCACTACACACACTTCTGTGGTAAGAGTCCAATGATAGTTGCTCAACTGCTGAGGCAAAGGGTGCTAATGTTTGATTACACTTTAGTCAAAGATGGAATAGTCTAAAAGCTACTGGTTTTTCTGCTTTCCTTTAAACTAACACTACAGACTGTTTAACTGAAGGCTTAATCTGTAAGTGTTAAGAGTCCTTTCCAGAACTGCTTTGATGGAAATACATGGATTTTTGCTGCCTAAAATTTTAAATGTAGTTCATTAATTAATCCTATCTTTAAAGGGATAAAAAGTATACATTGTCAAATATTACTAAATGTACAAGTTTTAATTTAATCTGCTTAAAAGGTGGCAGTTCTTTCAGTGACTTTTATATGTATATTTTGCAGATCTCAGGTGAGTATCCAACTATAGCAATATCATCTATCTGCTCCTGTGATTTTAAAGGGACACAAGCAAATATACAATTGTATTCCCATTCTGGTGCCAGTAGACATGAACTGAAGCAGAACTAGATATGAATGTGTGGGGTAACTGTTATCCTCTAGCATAGATCTCTCTCTCTCTCAGCACATTACTAATGTCCCAACCATGGGCTGCATCACAAAGGCCAAGTATTATCAGTATGAATCAGAGACCAGCTTGCCCTGCAAAAGCTTTAGTTAAATTTTGCTCTTCTAGCTTTTGAAGGGGAAGCCAATATTTACTAACCGAATTCATTCTTAGGCTAGGATTAGACTTGGTAAAGTAGCCAGTTTCAAATTATGTAGCTGCAAATTGTTCAAGTATTAGGAACAGCTGAGAGTAAATTTAAAATGGCAGCTGCTAATGTCAATTCTGTGTAAGCACTTTCATTATTGCTTGGACAGGACAAAAAGCACAACCTTTTTACAAGTTTAGCATGTGATGTACATAGTATGCAATTTGGGGTCATCAAGATTTTCATTTGGAGCAGTTTTTCTTCCTGTCTTCGGTAGACTTCTGCATCTAAGGCAATGGAAGCCTCATCTGACATAGCTGTACATCATGTTTATTTCAAAAATCATTGTCTACGTTTATGATAAAAAAATATAAAGTTGCTGAAGACCTTTAACCTATACAGACAGAAGATCAGATCTCTAATAACAGTACCGTATGTATGTAGTTACTATTGTAAATAAAGCTGATTGTGTGAAAGTTGCAGTTTTACATCAATAAATCACCTTTTGAAGTATGGTCAGTTTTAAACTTCACTTGTCAAAACAACTTCAATGGTCCAACAGTGAGTGAATACCAGGCCACAATTCCAATTCCAATTCTTGCACTTTATAGACTTACAGCAACTACAAAACTGGTTGACTACTAATCAAAAGTCAAAGCAGTTTCTGAATAGGCTACCTTAAAACTTAATTCAAACGTACAAATCCTTGGTGTAAATAGTGTTTTGGAATACATGTTTCTTGAAGTGTTTCTGTCACCCTCTTAAAGGATCTAACCAAAATAAGCTTAGAGTAGTTACAGTTAAAATTGAAAATATCTTGAGAGGGCAGAAAAATCTTAAAATATGCCTGGAAAGGGCCAGGGCTGTTAACTATTTTTCTTGCTGCATTATAGTCCTAGTTTGGTGCTAATCATGACGCTGAAGTCTGCAATATCAGTGATTCTCTAACTGCCAGTACACCTTTGTATGTTTAAACTCTTCCATAAACACAGTTTTACTGTTGTCGCCTTTGCTATCTACCACGACTAGCCAAAAACTGATCAGTACAGAAGCTGACTGGCAGAATGTGCCATATACTACCTAACCCTAGCCTGGCTCTAGCAAACAACATTCAGCCATTGATTTGAAGATAGGTCAACTCAGAAGTAACATCTATTAGTAGCAAGGAAAGCTTCAATCTTATTTGCAAATCTCATGCTCCTGGTCCTAGCTCCTATAATAGTGGCTATACTTGGCTTAAGGAATGAAATACTCCTACAGCAAGGCTTCAGAATGAATCTTGGAATAAAAAGATCGACCACGCTCACTTTCTTTCCTCTAAGTTCTTGCCAATATAAGAATGCAGGAAGTTCAACAGAGCTGATGTGAAGATTCCAGGTTCCAAGATTCCTAGTATAAAAGCTTTATTCTTATACATACATTAGCAGTTAGAGAATTGTACATTGATACAAAATAATTTTGAAGTTTTGTTTTAATGTATAGACCAGGTAAATTTATACAGACATCTTCAATAGTTACGTTCTTTGAATAGAATTAGATTGCAAGCTTGAGCCTGCAAATATTTCATGACTGAAGTATGAAATAAAATACCATCTGTCTTCTGAATACCATACTTAAGCGAATCTCACACAGTGAGCAAAAGTAATTCACATCACAAGAATACTGCCATTCTTGGGAGTTAATAATTCCACATATGTACTTAAGTTTGCCTTTCCAAACATACCTGAAAACCTTTAATATGTTCATTCTTCATGAGACAATTGAAGCCATTTTACAATATAGTAGTTTCTCTTTCCAACCCTCAGGAGTGATAAGCCATTACTGAGTATATGTTGTCCAATTATAAGAACAGCCTCAGGATTATTTACTTCAACATGGTTTATAGTAACTGCACCAACTGTTATGTCACGATACCTTGAAAAAGAAATTGTACAGACCATTATTTCAAATAGACCACAACAGTTCAATCTAGAAGCAGCACACTTCTGTTGGGATACCAAATGGGTTAAACAACTTCCAAAAGGACCTGACTTACACAGGGAAAGGAGCTAACTCACTTTCTGGGATTAGAAAGCTACATGTAAGCGTAACTTGACATACCCTGCTACTGATTTTGCTTCCTGCAAAACATGTACTAAAGCAAGAGAAAGGCAACCCTTCTTGTACTAAAACCTGCAATAGTCTTTCATAATCAAGTTTATCTGATTTTGTACACTGGTTTTCAATGAAGAAAACGGGATTCAAGTTGGCCAACAATTTACCTACAACCACCCCCAAATATTTTTCTGACCCTAGTCATTACATTACCCATGTCTTGGGTACATGTGGTTATTAGGTAATATTAATTGTATAATTAACAAGCTGGCAAATACGCAAATCTGAGTTTGTGATAACACCTGACTAGATACATATGGAAAGCTTGCTTCTGTGGTTTAAAAATCTCACTGAGTTAAGGATACTACCATTTCATAAATAATTTAAAAAAATCAAATTAAGCAATTATTTTCGATGGATAAATATCTAGTGCAAGTTAAATGAAAATAAGCTGTACTTTTCAGAGATGGAGAAAATGCAGCATGGTGCTGTGTGCCTCTTACATTTGTACATTCTTGTGCTGTAGGTTACACATTCCCACAAGATAAGCAGTTCTTCAAGCTTAAGCTTTTGACTTGGCTTGTCAAAAAAACTGTCCCACTTCTTTCCAGCTGTAATCTCAATGGAGCCAGCATAGTGTAGTCATGGTATAATAGCAACAAATGCTCTTTTATAGTAAATGTTTGAGCTTTTAACACAGTACTGTACAGTTCTTCAAATTTGCTCAAGAGTGTAAGACAGAGAGTGTCAGCCTAGCTTTAATCTGAACTATACCTCTGTTACACAAGCATGTTGAATACCTCAGCAGCAATGCTGCTATAACTATATCATTGGAAAGTACTGCAAGAGGCTGAGCACCAACATGTGCATTTTCCAGTGAACTACCCAGTATGACAATCAACTTTCTCAGTCCTGCCTCTCAGCTGCTGAACTTCTTGTTTATTCAACTTTCTGCAGGAACAAACCCAGTATCGGCCACCCCACTTGCAATGACTGAAAAACTGACACTGAAGTATTTGTCACTTAGCTGCTGGTGGCTAGCTTGTTGCAAGTTCATTTTATTAGCTGAAGATGTTCCTAAGTAAACTATCTGGATGGGATGGGAATATTGGATGGTGTATTGGGACTGATAGATTTTAAGGCAATATGGTGTGGATGTGCTTAGTCACTCAAATCACAGACCGTGTAAACTGCAGCTGGATTAAGAGAAACACCAAAGCTGTATAAGGCCCAAAAGGCAAATGAAATTCTTTGTGGAAGAGGAGATCATCATTTTGGTTTATGATCTTGTGCCACCAAGCCCTTCACTGGTAGGCAAAGCTGCAACAAAACCAGTGACACTCATTCTGATTGTGCAATGACCACAAACTTTCTGCATGTATGAATTTTTATTCCAATATTTTTACTGTTTTTTAAAAATGTAAATATGTTCTATAAGCAAAATGTGGCAAAAAGATAAAAAATACTGCTTCAGAAAAGTAACTATTAACTTACCCCTTTGGCCCATCTGCAATAGCATTAGCTTTGCGACACAAATCGAGCACTGTTGTTCCAGGTTCTAGCAGCAATTCAATATATGGTGCTTCAGTAAAAAGTTCCTTTAGTTCTTCATCAGACATATTCTCCAGTGCTGTAATATCACTGTAATAAAGGGCCCTTGTACATCTGGTTAAAAATAGAAGCAAGCAATATTAATATTACAACCAAGACTTGCAAAACTTCCTTCTCCCAATTTAAGCAGAGAAATACTTTCCACTTAAAGAGAATTTGCCTCATATTTATGAAGATGAAAGCTACTACCTGCATTTCAGTTAACATAATTATGATGCAAAAACATCGTCATCTTTACCAAATCAATATTCTTGTACCTCTTGGCAACTTCCAGACCTTCCTTGCCATGAACAAGCTTTGTTACTTCAGCAGCAAGTCGTTTCTGTGGTCCCCACTTCTCAGGCTCTTGAGCATGCATTTCCATTATGTGATTGATTTCCGGAAGAGGAAGGAAAGTGAAAAGTTTCAAATACCTTAAAGGGAAGATAGAAACATTTTACTTCTGTACCAGATAGTATTGATATACACTTATTTCTGCCCCTCAGCCTAAGTTCTTTTGTTAGATTTCCTTAAAACACCATCTTTGAATTTTTTTTAATAATTGGCATATGCTATTACTTAGGAATTTAAAAAAATAAGATGAAAATGACTTTTATTTACTTGATTTATATCCCATTTTTTCCTTACAACAAATGCAAAGTGGCTCACATAATTCTCTTCTTCTTGCTCTTAATCTTATTCCCACAACAGCAAACCTGTGAGATAGGTTTGCCTAAAAATCTGTGACTGGCCCAAAGTCACCCAGCTGGCTCCATGGCTGAGCGGGCACTAGAACCCAGATTGCCCGAGTCCTAGTCCCATGCTTTTAACTACTATACCACACTGGCCCTCTTTTTACAATGTTTTGCTGCAAATACTGGATCTAAACATTTCTGCACTAGTAATAAGCCTTTAGGGTGTAATAAGATTACTGCTACAACAGCAGCATGATCTGGCTTAAGCACAAAGCCAACGCATGGTTTAACTCAGTTTATGTTCCACGTTTCCACCAAAAATGGCACTCAAGGTAGCTTACAGAACCAATTAAAACTGATTGAAATTAACCTGCATTTTGCAGCCTTATCCAGAGTTTGTCTGGCAGATGATCAGACCATCTACAGTTGATAAAATCCCTAAGGCATTTCCCTCCTCTTTCACCCATTCTCTTCATGTGAGCCACATGCTTTTACAACACCACAATACTGCAGGATGGAATGGCTGCTGTTCTGTTTCTTTTACCACTCTGACCTGTAACTTTTGTCGTCTGGTGAAACAATGCACAGTTCTCAGTTCAAACATAACTGTCCATGCTTAAGCAACCCAAAGTTTGCAATTCAACAACAGACCATGGGCTGTACATGTTTAACAAACTATGCTTTGTTCACATGGCTAGGTTAATAACAACCAAGAATTCAACAAGACATATTACAGGTTAGTGTTATGTGCAAACCAATCCAACATGACAAACCCTTTATGCAATACATTCTGAACAAAGTTTCTGCAGAACATAAGAGTATATGGGGACTCCTTAGAGAATATATATGTATCTTTTAGGTACAGTTCATATGGCATGCGAAGAAAATGTTAATTTTAAAAATTGTATGCCAACAAACCCATAAAACGTAGGGCACGTTTAATGTGCTACATGAATAATTCTTCAATTTTAGTTTATTAGAGTATCTGGCTTCTCACATGGAACAGACTGGACAGGACCTTTGGGTATACACAAATATATTCTCATTTATATTCCACCTTTCATCCAAAGAGCTCAAGATAGTATACATAGCTCTTACTCCAATCTGCTCATGACAACAACTCTGCAGGATAGCTTTGGCTGATAAAGAATAACTAACTGAAGGGCACTCAGCTTCATAGCTGAGTAATCATTTCAACTGGATTTCCCCATCCTAGTCTGACAAGCTAATTACTGCAAAACAACTAGTAAAATAGTTCCCTTTCCTTTAACATACTGCATTTTTCTAGAACAGCAAATCCTGCGATGGTGTGGGGGTTGTTTATAAGCATACTTGCCTTTCTATAACTTTATCTGGCTGTCTGACAAAAAACTGGTATAATGCAAATGGAGAGGTCTTATTTCTGTTAAGCCAAACTGCATTACCAGCAGATTTCCCCAATTTATTTCCAGTAGTACTTGTAATGAGAGGCACAGTTATTCCAAACACATCTTCACCTGTCACCCTAACAGAAAAGAAAGATTAAGGTTATGTTATTTGTTAACAGGACACTGAATACATATAGTCAATCTCAGAGTTACAAACACTTCTGTAAGAAGACTCAAAATTATGCAAGTACTCAAAGCTAAGTATTTCTTCACTTCAGCTGTTAAAATCTTTGCTGCCCTGCTCACTCTGCAAAACCTGTTTGTGCCCAGTTCCTTAAGAATCTCTTCACAAGGCATGTGCTGATTACATACCTCCTTATTAAGGAGCTGTATGACATGACTGTAACTCAAGCCAAAGCTTTAAATTTATTGACAGTTTAATTTATTTGATACACACAGGGCTTTAGTGCTATTTATAACCTATTGAAGTTACTATTTCCACACTGCCAAAATATTAATATAAATTGTCATTGATTAATGTAACATGTAACATGATACTTCAAGTCAAATCAATTACTCTGGCCACTCTCTTTCAGTGATGGCAAAAATAGAGGTGGCCATCTCCAGACAGTTACATCTCTGCAGATAGATTGGGCTTGAGACTTGTAGTTGTTGCTGCTTTATTGTATGGCCCATTACAAAGCAGACAAAAAACTACAAATGCAAGTGTTGTGTGTGTGCTGCGACTGGGATGGGATGGGAGGGGAGGGGAGGGGAAACAATCCTTAGGCAGAAGTGGATGAAGTGGCTCTCTTCTTACTTGGAGACAAGCTCGTATCCAGACATGATATTACCCATCTGGTCCGCGCCACCCAGCTGGATGCGACAGCCGTGATGCAGGTGCAAGTGCAAGAAATCGTAAGCCTGCAGGACCGGATACAGGAATTCGGTGAGACCCATGCCCGCGGGGCTGTTGAGGCGGGCCTTGCAGGTCTGCCGGCTCAGCAGGGTGCCCATGCGCAGGTGGCCGCCCACGCTGCACAGGAAGTCCACCACGGGCTGGTGCTGCAGCCAACTGGCGTTGTCTAAAACGATAGCTCGGCCGAGGCGCGCGCCGCTGGAAGGCCAGAAGAGCTCGCGGTGGTGGGCGAACAGCCGCTCGAGCCCCTCGCGCAGCCCCCGCGCATGCTCGCGGACGCGCTCCTCGAGCAGTAGCTCGCGCTCCTTGGTGCGGCCGCTGGGGTCGCCCAGGCGCGCCGTGGCGCTGCCCACCAGGGCGATGACGTCGTGGCCCGCGCGCTGGAAGTGCAGCAAGCCCATGACCGTCAGCAGGTGCCCGACGTGAAGCGAGTCGGCCGTCGGGTCGAAACCGCAGTAGACGGCCACGGGCGGGCGGCCCGCCTCGAGGAGGTCAACGAGCTGCTCCTCAGCGACCTGAGGCGGGAACACCTCCTGGAACAGACCCCGCTCGCACTGGTCGGCCAAGAGGTTCTTGGCCGGCTTCGCCCGCGGCTGGGGTTCCGGCCCTTCTGCATGGAACTGCCGGCTCTCCTCAGAGGCCCAAAGTCGGGGCAGCGTCGTCCTCAGGCCCACAAGAAGCCGGCGATGGCAAGCGAAGAGCGTGGGAGCCGCCATCTTGCTTACGCAAAGATGCGGGAGTGTACAGCGCAAAGCTTCCTGGGAAAGGGGGTGGAGAGGAAGGTCGCTCTAGGAGCATCACAGGGCGTGTCTATGGAAGTCACGCTCCGTGGAGCCTGAAGTTTTCCCTGTGCTTTGGCTGCTGCGTTAAGCGTTGCACTGTTATCGCTGGTGACGGCTGCTGCTGCTGCTTTCTTTTAACCCTGCAGTGTATTTATTTATTCTGTTCTATTATGCATACAGTCCCTCCTTTTTTTCCTGCAAGGTACCTCTTCCTTCCCTCCGTTTTATCCTCTCATCACGGTGAAGTAGGTTGGGCTGAGCGTCAGTGAGTGCTTAGATGTCCCAGTGAAGGACTAGAACCAGGATCGCCTGTGACCCGATCCAACACTGTAAGCAGTACACCACAGTGGTCCTTATTCTATTTCTAGATGGAAGTGAGCATTTACATAATAACACTGGTCTACGAGTTTTGGGAAATTATCGGCCTCTGAGATAAAATGTGCTAATTCTTACCTATTTTGATTAGATGAATTAGAAAACAGGTGATAAAGAAGCTGGTTGGCTAAAGCTTTAAAGATATTTCACAAAGATTTATACACAGATGAGTATATTTGTCTACCAGGAAGGGAGGTCTCGGATTATCATGATGCCTCATAACTTCCCGACGAAGTATGATAGAACAGTGAAAATGGTACCACATGGAAGTGTATAAATTTATCTTCACTTTGAGACTAAAGATTATTACCTAACTGTAATTTATTGTTCTTTTATTGCAAGGTACAGTTTTCTTGGTCAGATCTACTCATCATACAGTTACATCTGGTGGCTTGTGAAAGTGTAATTGCCTAACATTTCCAAGGAACAGGTGCATATTTTTCCTCAGAAGCCAAGATACCTCAAAACTGTGTAAACAATGCCGATAACGTCTAACTTCTAATTCCTAACTAAGCCTTCCTATCCAGAAACATTGTCATCAGACCACCCTGTCAGGGATCCCTTCTCTTGCTATGCCAAAGTTGCTTGCAATAAAGCTGGGTCAGTTCAATGAAGCCATGCATTTGCTTCCTGTCTTCTACCTTTTCCACTGTCTTGGTCTCCAATTCAGGAACAAACAAAATTTCCTTTAAAGCTAGTCATGAAACATGTCTTCTATCATCAGTTGCAAGCAATTAAATATTTATTTAGAAGGAAAGATGCCTATATAAAAAATGTCTTTTAATTTCCCAGTATTTTAATGCTTAATTGGTTTTATCCTTGTTTTTATCATTATTTATTGGATGCAGTGTGTTGTTTTTATTGTTCCTTTGTTCTTTGGTTTTTTTTGTTCTTTGTAAGCCATCCAGAGACTTTTAGTAATGGGACAGCATATAAAAACTTTAAGTAAATAAATAAATCTATGTGCAAACTAAGCCTGTCTCAGCTGCAGCTGTCTGCAGCTTCTTTTATGTGTACCTGAAACTATTATAGGCATATTGGCTCGAACCCTAAGATAGCTCAACTGAAGGAAATTCATGGAAGGAAAGTCTTCCACTCTACTGAGGCTACCTGTGCCCCGAAAAACCTCTCCAGAAGGCAGATAACCTTCTGAACAATGTGGGATGGAACATGGGGGTGGGAATTACCCCAGATTGGGCAACAGTCTAACTGATTCTGTACAGGAAGGATCCCAACCCTCCTAAGAAGGTTGAGGCGGCACAGGTGGCTGCAGTGAGAGGAAGGATGAAAAGCTTTCCTCTTGTGAATGTCCTTCTGTTAACTTCTCTTAGACTCCAGTCTGTTGCACTGAAGCTCTAATCTCTCTCTCTCTCTCTCTCTCTCTCTCTCTCTCTCTCTCTCTCTCTCTCACACGCGCGCGCGCGCGCGCGCGACATAAATTTACCTCTGAATCACTAATTTTGCTGTGTGCTTTCAGCTTTCCAGAAGATGGCACTGTTGCACTTGACCTATAATAATTCCAACCTGCTTTCTCTGTGTGCTGTGCAAATTGAGAATTTATTACACATATTTGCTGAACTTTGGGGAAAGGCTACAAGTGAAATAAAACAAACCTGCCGACATTCTTTTAGTACTCTACCCGTGTTGCAGCATGCTGTTGAGTTGTTCATTCCATGAAGACATGTGTACAATATACAGAGGCTGGGGATTAATATTAGTATTAAAGAATTAATACTTCCTTTTAAACTGCAAATTAGGTCAATGGGCCCTTCCTGGACCACAGTGCAAGTACAGAATGAGGCTCCATTGCTGAAAGTTGGCCCTTTGATGGGGTATGCTTCCCTGCCTTCTGGAATGAGCGGCTGCGGTGTAGTTGTGCGGTCAGGGTCAAGTATGGGAACTCTTTTATTAGAAGGACCAGTGATGTCACCTACACCTGCTCCTCAGTCCAAATTCCCTCTAAGCTTATTTATTTTTTTATTTATTAAAACATTTCTATGCCGCCCCATTTGCCGAAGCCTCGGGGCGGCTCACAACATTAAGTTAAAATACAAACATTAAGTTAAAACATTAACTTAACATTAAGTTAAAATGTTTGTAAAATACAAACATTAAGTTAAAATACAAAAAATAACAATATAAAATAAGTCGTCCTGGCCAGATAAAATCAAATAATATTAACAATTAAAATGACGCTTAAATAAATAAATGACGCTTATTTGCAGTTCTCGTGGTGTGGTCTGGGAAATAGCTTTGCTTGCTTTATAGTTTATTCAAACGTAAAAGTATATGCAAACAGACTAATTAATAATACAGTGACATGTATTACTAATCTAACCAAGAATATGGAGATCGTAATACACTACTATATTAAAGTGCAGTATGGAACCTTTGTTTAGCTCCATTTCCAGCTAATTGGAGGGAAGCCTTAACATCCCTGTTGAGCTTTAGTGCAGAGTGGAAGGAACCATAGAAAAGTTCATGGATTTTTAATGACTAGCTGTGATCATTCCTGGGGGACTCAAGTGGTGGTGGAAAAGTCTGATCTTCTGTTTTCCCATAATTATATTTCAGCATGCATTGATTCAGCTGACATTCAGGTGACTGTCTTACTCATGCAGACATTTGAGTCTGGAAATGGCTCTGTATCATCTCTGACCCCAGGCAATCAAAGTATCTGAGAATTTAGGGATACCACCTGAGCCCAGAGAGCAGCAGTACAGTCCTAGTGCATTTGAGTACATACACAAATAAGACAGTTGTATTGCACCAACTCTATATTGGCAACTGAGCTCAGTTAAGAAATCATTCATAGGATATTGTGCTGGGCTTTCATATTGTTTTTGCATGAATAGTGAGCTTTCCACAAATTAACAGGATTTAAAATCAGATTAATGACAGAAAAAGATACTGAATGATGACAACAAAATACTAAATTATTCAAATAAAGCTCTTCACGCCTGTAGAATAAGTCAGTAGGAATCATTTTTCTACCTTAGATCAGTTGCTAATATAAAATGGTTTTCATTTATTTCATTTTTATACTACTCAATAGTTGAGGCTCTTGGGGCAGTTAACAAAAGTTAAAAAGGCATGTAAAAATTCATTTAAAAGAATGAAACCACAATAGCAATAGCAATTACGGTTTGCACAAAACAGCACAAAAGCATAGCAGCAATACAGAATAACCTGTATTTTGCCTTTGGATTGCTAATCTTTTTTCTTGATTGTGTACCACACTGGCATTTTCTTCAAGGGCCAGACTGGATGCAGTGATGGCAGACCTGCTATGGCATTTTTTGTGGTTTTGAGAAAGCTTGCCCAGCCCATCATTTTAGATCAGGAATACAACACTCAGGGAAAAGGGTCTAACACTTGTTCCCAGCACCATACTATTCCCTCCAACTATTTGCCCTGTGGGGTAAAACTGAGATGCCGTACATGAAAGCAAGAAATGAAAGCTGAAGTCCTACATTTACCTGGTAGTAAATCTGATTTAATCTTAGAGAACTTAACTTCTAAGTCAATCCAATTATGGGTGTTACTTTTAAGTGCAAACAACCACATTATCCTTTACACAATTTATGTTTTTATTGTGTAATAGTTAGCAGACTACATGAATGGATCTGGTTCCTAGCATTTGTGGAATGAGCTAATCTCACTGTAACCAGTGTTAAGGTCAAGATGTCAAGGTTGTAAAACTGCAGTAAATACATCAGATATTTTGTTTAAACGACATGTCAAAACTGATAGCAGTTTTCCTCTGAGCAAAAAAAAAAAAAAAATAATTCCTTGTTTATGGTGCTCTCCCACTTTTAAATGCAAATATTAGTGCAGTATGGTCACGCAAACCTCATCTTGGACTCCTTGCAGATTTCATAAGATAAGTGTAATGAGGCCTGGTCAATGTATTAGTGCTAAATGTCTACAGATGCATTCCAGAAAGATAACACGATACGATGTATGGGAGTAGACAGTAAATTATTTAAGTCAGCACTCACACATGGTGGGAATGGCATATTCTTACACTCACCCTCGAAAATGCATTTTCAGGGGATGGTTGTCTCATCCTTTCCTTCCTTTCTCCATACACCTAGGCTTGGTTTGCACATAACATCAACAACCAGTATAGTTTGTTGTATTCTGGGTTGTTGCAATGTGCAAAAGTGGCTGCAGTAAGAAACCTTTGGTTGTTAACCATGATTAATCCAGAAAGAGAACACATGTATTTATTTATTTATTTAAAACATTTCTATGCCGCCCCCATCGCAACAAAGCCTCGGGGCAGCTCACAAAGAATACATAAAAACTTACATAAATAATAATAATAATAATATAACAATTTTTAAAAAAAAACATCATTTGTTGTTGCCTTGTGAACTCTGGTTTGTTTAAACCACAGGTTGCTGATACATGTGAGGCCACAACTGTGGGCTGCCAATCTACAGAGACAGTGGATAAGAGTGGTAAAAACAAGCAAGCAAACAAGCCCACGTGCTTTACATGTCAACAGTAAAGCACTGCAGAAGCATTTGGAAAGGAATTGAACTGGTGAAAAGGGATGGAAAC